TGTCGGGTGTTTCTGTTGTGTTGCTATTGTGGATGAGTGGACTGTTCTGCGCGTTCATTTTCCTTGTTTGTGCGTGCATGTATTGGGCAAGCGGGCGAGAAGATGCATAAAAAGGCTCGTCAGTGACGCGTCCCCGGAACCTTCCGCGGTGGCAGCCGCGCTTGCATGCCCTCGGACGGTCAACGCAACGACGACGCTGACACGAAGGCGAGGCCAGGGGGGCCAGGAGTGAAACATCATCCTGAGAGACAACGGCGAGCCCGCGCGGATCATGGCCGATCTCACCTGCCTCAGCAACCCTGCCGCATCGAGACGCAAAAAGGAAGGCCGCGGGTGTTCCGCTCGCTCTCCAGAAGGAATGCGCTACCAGGAGTGCTGCCCCTGTCGTCGAAATGGCGTCGGCGTCGAAAGCGTCGCCATTCGCGTTCACGTTGTAGTCGTCGTCGTCGTTGTCTCCACGACGTCCTGGACGAATCGTCGTCGTCGACGTCATCGTTGTGGTCTTCGGCGACAGCGTCGTCGTCGCGGTCGTGGTCGTGGTCGTCATCGTCGACGTCGTCGAGCGGTCATCGTCGTCGTCGTTGCCGTGGTCGTGGTCGTCGTCGCCGCTTTCGACGTTTCCATGCCGCCGCCGCCGGGCCCCCCGAGCGTCGCCACTGCTACGCGCCACCAACGCGGCAGACCGCCTGGAATTCTAAACGTACCCGCCGAGAGAGAGAGAGAGAGAGAGAGAGAGAGAGAGAGAGAGAGAGAGAGAGAGAGAGAGAGAAAAAAATGACAATCTGCTTCGCACAGATGTTGCAGAGACGCGAACGAGATGATTATCTGGTCGGACTGGGTGACCCTGTCATCCATCCCAGAGAGAACTAGCGCCTAGAACTCAGCTTGACCACGCCACCCAAAGCATCCACGCGGAATACCAAACAAACCCGCCGAATTGTTGCACGAGAGATGCGCCATCGTCACAGCGAAATACACCAAATCCTTCAGTGCACGCTCTTGCGGGTAAGTACGACGCCGCCGAAGAGGAGGGGCTGCTCATGGTCCACTGCGCCTGATGCGAACAGCATGCTCATTTCTCGTCGCTGCCGTGCCGACATAGAGCGATCCGCTCCGATAAGCTGCTTCCAAGTAAGTGGGCTCACGTGAAATTGAGCAATGACAGAATCTCAAAAACCTGCGCTACGCGCATTGCCCTGGGTGCCCATGTTCGACACGCCAGCGTACTTATCATCCCCGCCATGCGAAGCTTCACAGTTGCAACGTCGCCGACAAAGTCTACGCGCCAACGGGCGTCTTGGTCGGTGAACAGGTTCATGCTGCACACATGGAAATACAAACTCGTGCCTACCTGAGCGACGAGCTTCCTCGTGCAATTGAGGTCACCGCTGCCATCCCGCATCGGCTTCTTCGTGATCACTAGAGCTCTGACGGCGTTCTGGATTATGTGCAGAACTACCTCTGGCGGCGCACACTCCGCCATGTATGCTGGGCGACGGCAGTGCGGCGACGATCGGAACTTGCCACAAAAAGGAGGCATGATCACCGACTCCTCGCCCTTCTCGCTCCCAAGTACCCCTTCTGCAAGCCAAAATATCAGGGCGTACCGGCGCCTCCCCATGCCGACAGCAAGGAAACCAAGAAAAAGAAGCTTGTGCTCATGGGCGGAGCTGCGCTCGCAGCCCAACTGCAATGCTACGAGCCAAAGTGGCAACAGCGACGACAACGCTGGGGCACTCCTGGGCGCTCCTTAGCCTTCGGCAATGGCCCCAACCACGCAGGTCAAAACCTCCGTGGCCGCACGACACGAACTCCGAGAAGGAAAAAGAGGAAGACGACGAAGAGCGGAACGAACGTCTCACACACACGGAAAGGCCGGACCGACTCCCACTAGCCCCAGAAGCCCGAGCTGCTCACGCCGCGAGACACCCGATCGACTCACCCCGTGGGAAACTTGAAAATTACCTGGAACTGCACCAAGGACAACCGTGTATAATACTATATCCTGACAGCTGGAACACCTGCAACGCCAGAGAACTAGACCCCAGGCCCCTGGACACCCGGAGGCACGATAAGCCTCGATCCGCTACGTGGAACGAGACGGGATACGCCGACAGTCATGTTGAGAGCCTCGAGCTTGTGCATACCTGCAGACCTCTCCGCGCGCTGTACTCCTGCACGACTACGAAGAGCGTTCTACCTAAATCGACTGTGTCCCGTCTTTCCAGAGGGCAAAGCGAACCACTTCAGCCCACGCGTTCCGCAACGCTCCACGCGTCACCTGCGCGCGAGCGCGGCAGACGACACTTGGAACGACGACTCCCAGACCTCCACATGTGCCTACTCAACATCCGCAGGAAAACTGGCGCACCACTCGTACTCTCTTGGGAAGAGGCACAGGACAACGTTGAACTTCTGTGCATGTCTTTCTGTGCGTTCTTGATGTGTGTCGGACCGCCTTTGATGTATGCGTGCTTCTGTATTGAATACATGCGTGTATAGGTGTGAAGGGGAATCCATGATGTGATGTCGCAGTGACGATGGATCCTGCGGATCAAATCTCGAAAGTGGCGCGTCTCCGAGACATCTCGCGCTGACCGCCGTGCCTGCATGTCACCGAGCGCTAACAGCCACGACGACCTGCTGACACGAACGCGGGGCGAATAGAGAAGAATATTACTCACATCAGATGCAAAAATGGAGATCTCGTAGAAATGCTGGGCTACGTGCGGCATTTGCGCACACAAGCCACCTCGTGCCAAAAAACACAGCAGGCGCGTGCGTTACGAGTAGGCGGAGCGAAGCTCACAGCCACACTCCAATACTAGAAGCCAGAGTGGCAACGACAACAACACTGGTCGGGAAAGATCGCTGCTTTCGACGACGGCCGCCCTGAGTCCATTACGACAACGACTACTACGACTACTACGACGACTCCTACTGTTACTACTCCCACTACTACTTCTACTGCTACTACTCCTACTACTACCACTACTTCTACCTACTACGACTACTACTACTACTACTACTACTACTACTACTACTACTACTACTACTACTACTACTACTACTACTACTACTACTACTACTACTACTACTACTACTACTACTACTACTACTACTACTACTACTACTACTACTACTACTACTACTACTACTACTACTACTACTACTACTACTACTACTACTACTACTACTACTACTACTACGACTACTACTACTACTACTACTACTACTACTACGACTACGACTACTACTACTACTACTACCACTACTACTACTACTACTACTACTACTACTACTACTACTACTACTACTACTACTACTACTACTACTACTACTACGACTACTACTACTACTTACTACTACTACTACTACTACTACTACTACTACTACTACTACTACTACTACTACTACTACTACTACTACTACTACTACTACTACTACTACTACTACTACTACTACTACTACTACTACTACTACTACTACTACTACTACTACTACTACTACTACTACTACTACTACTACTACTACTACTACTACTACTACTACTACTACTACTACTACTACGACTCCTACGACGAAGGGCCCAAACGACTCGCACGCGGACGAGGTGCCCAAACGCCGCACACCACGAGAAGCACGACCGACTCGCACCAGGACGAAAGGCCCGAACGACTCACACCACGAGGAACCCGAACGACTCACACCAGGACGAGGGGCCCCGACGACTCACACCAGGACGAGACGCCCGAACGACTCACACCACGAGGAGCCCGAACGACTCACAACACGACCAACCCGAACGACTCACACCAGGAGGAAGGGCCCGAACGACTCACACAACGAGGATACCGAACGACTCACACCAGGAATAGGGTCCCGAAAGACTCACACAAAGACGACGGGGCCGAAGGACTCACACAACGAGGGCCCGCACCGCCGCCTTCGTCGTCGCCGTCGTCGTCGACGTCGTCGTCGGAGGCGGGAAGAAGGAGGAACAGGGGGGGTATGCGGCGCCAAGCGGACACACGCCTGAAAAACACAACTGTCGGCACGCTTCGCAAGAGTTGCTGTTGTGAGATGGGCTGGTGGGGATGCGCGAAGCGTAAAGAATTTCCAGTGTTACAGTTCTGCTTCTTGCTGGTTACTGTAACTAGTTGATTTCTTGCTGGTTACTGTAACTAGTTGATTGACCGCGCGAGGGGGGGGGAGGCCCAAACAGAATTTTTAGCCTCACCTGGGCGCGTTGTCTGAATTGCTGGGGGGGCTCGAAATCGACACCCCTCACGCAGATCCGCGGGGTCAGGGTCCAAAAACACATGGGATTTGCCACATTTCTGAAATTCGGTGCCACCCCTCACGCAGATCCGCGGGGTCAGGGTCCAAAAACACATGGGATTTGCCACATTTCTGAAATTCGGTGCCACCCCTCACGCAGATCCGCGGGGTCAGGGTCCAAAAACACATGGGATTTGCCACATTTCTGAAATTCGGTGCCACCCCTCACGCAGATCCGCGGGGTCAGGGTCCAAAAACACAGGGGATTTGCCACATTTCTGAAATTCGGTGCCACCCCTCACGCAGATCCGCGGGGTCAGGGTCCAAAAACACAGGGGATTTGCTACATTTCTGAAATTCGGTGCCCCCTTCACGCAGATCCGCGGGGTCAGGGTCCAAAAACACAGGGGATCTGCCACATTTCTGAAATTCGGTGCCACCCCTCACGCACATCCATCGCAAGGCGTGGTGACCCAAACTGCGAGTACTCCCTCGGCCCTTTAATCCCAAGGTGTGGTAACCAAGTTCGTAAACCATACACGTCTTACCAATCGCCCTGTGTGGTAACCCCTCTTGTGATCAGTTGGTTTTGCCGATTGCGAGTCGGCCCGCATGAAGTTCCGATACTGCTGCACGACAGCGCCAAAGCCTCATGACTTAGCTCTTCCATGGCCCATTCTCCGAGAGAGGGGGCCGGCGGCAGGGGGCGAAGCCATTACGGATATGGGAGGACGTTCGCCAAAGTCCTGTTAAATTCCTCCTGCTCCACGAATGTTTTGCGCCCTTCCGTGGCGTCGTCCTTCCATTTCTGCGGAATGCACGCCCAGTCGATCCAGACGTGGGTGATGTCCGGGCTCTCGCGCAGAATCGTTTTCAGTTTCTTCAGCTTGGTGCAGTCCGGGTCAATGTGCCAATGCCTGATCCAGCGATGGCTGACTGCAGCCTTTGTCCTCGCCGCTCCAGACAGGACGTCTGCGTCGGTCATGAAGATGCGCACCAACTTGCCCTGATCCCTCAGGGTCTGGTGGCGGGGCATTGGCCTGTCCTCAGGCAGTGCCAGGAACTCCTCGCGGCTCATGAACCAGAAGTGGAAGCCCTGTGCTGCGTCTGTCTGCGCTGCCCATAAACGGGGCGGCGGGGCGGAGAGTCGCGATACGTCTTCGGTGGGGTAGTGTTACGCAGTTTGTTCTGCATGGCCAAGCGTTACCATGCATGCGTATGCTATACAAAGCAGCAAAATTGTTTATCATCGCGCACGCATAGCATACCATAGCATGGAACATCATAGTACCGCATAGCGCTTCACCTCATAGCATAGCATAACAATGCATAGCACGTCATAGTCATAGTATCGGATCGTATACCACTTCATGCCATGCAACGCATTGCTGGCCACTAGCATAATATCTTAACAATGCACCACGGTGGACCGTCGTTGGAAATTTGCATCGGCCTCCGCAACCACATATGGACCTGACTCCAATATCTTCATGACTGTTTGATGGCTTCGCTGCTTCGCCCTCCAACTATGCTACGCTGTGCAGATTCGGCCCAATGAGGCATCGCCCCCCCTCGCGCGAGGACAAGGGGAGGATAATGAGGAGGAGGAAACGGTAGAGAGGATGAGGAGGAGAAGGAGCAGAATAACGAGAAAGGGAAGAGGAGGAGGAGGAGGTGGTGGAAATGAGGAGGGAGAGGAAAAGGATTGTGTTCCAATTGGGAAGATCTTCGCTGAAGAGCTTCGCGCTAAGGCCCCAAGCGTGAAAACGTGAAGATCTTCGCGCGGGGAGCGTGTTGGGCTTAGTCGGGGGCGTGTTGGCCAATCCTGTGAGCTCTCTGCATTGTCTTGGAGGCCGTATTGGGTTTCTTTGGGAATCTGGCGGCTCGAAAAAACAGTGGGGAGGAAGATCACTTCAGATCTTCGCGCTGAGGCCCAGAGGGTAATGATCGCCTCTTAAATTCCAAGAGCAGCCCCCCCGCATCAATATTCTTAATGTAGATATTTCTGCTGGGGCCCTCTGGTGTCGTGTCGGGGGGCCTTTGGGAATGAACCTTGTGGGCGGTCTCTTGGAGGAAAATTTGGGCCGGCTTGGGCGGTTGAGGGGGCTCTGGAACATCCCCAGCGTGGAGGTCTCCGCTGTAGATCGCCGTGCCAAGGCCTCCAGCTGTAAGATTTTCGAATTACTGAAGATCTTTGCGCGGGAATTCACTTGGGCTTGGTCGGGTGCCTTTGGGACTGGGGCCTCTTGAATTGGTCATGGAAGCCACATTTGGTTTCTTGGCGATCTGGAGGCCCCAAAAAGTGCCCAGCGTGAAGATTTGGACCGAAGATCTTCGCGCTGAGGCCTCAAGCGCGAAGGCCTTCACTCAATATTTTCGCGCGAGGAGCCTCTGGCAATCCTGGAAGCCTTTGGGGTTGTCTTGGAGGCCATATTGGATGACCCTGGCGACCTGGAAGTCCGAAAGTATCCCGAGCGTGAAAATCTCAACTGAAGATCTTCGCGCTGAGGCCCCAAGCGTGAAAATCCCCGCTGTAGATGTCAAAGCCGAGGCCCCCAGCGTAGAGATCTCCAATTTAGATATGCTGGGGGCCTCTCGGGCCGTGCTGGGGGCCTTGGCCTGGGAGCCTTTGGGGTCGTCGCGGAGGCAATCTTAGGCCGTCTTAGGCGATCTGGGTGCCATGGGAGACCCCCAGCGTGGAGATCCCCGTCGTAGAGCGCCGCGCCGCGGGTCCAGCGTGAAGATATTATCTGATGATCTTCCGGGCAATCATCCACGTGCGTCAGAAGCCATGCAATTTGGCACAAGTATGTATCAACCATCGCCATGAGCGCATGTGTGAACATAGCATGCGCGTGCTACGTGAAGGATTTGGATGTACATGCTTTGATGTCCGCTTTGATGGGTATTTGGGAGTCTCGGGGCGCATCGCGTTCGCAGTGCGTGCGCACGCGCACGCAAACATCCAAGTGCAATAAGACAAACTACCGTACTCTGTCTGAGGGGGATTGGACGGGGGAACTTGGAGAGGGAGGAGGATGAGAGGAGGAGTGGGGGAAGGTGGAGGAGGGGCCGGTAGGGGGTGAAACGGAGGAAGAAGAGGAGGGGAGGAGGAGGGGAGGAAGAGGAAGAGGAGAAGGATGAATTGGGGAGGAGGGAGGGGAGGATAATTCGCCGGCCCAACGGGCCAGAGGCGTGCTAAGATCTCCGGTAACTGGTAAACAGTATTTCTAGTTCGCGCGCGCGGGGCGGCCCCTGGGGTCCCTGGATCAAGAGTACCCCGGGCGGAGCCCGGGACACTCCCCCAGATCCTCCAGGATCGCCCCAAGAGGGCCCCAAGAGGCCCCCAACACAATCCAAGAGAGGTCCGAGACGCCCGAAGATCGCTCCACGGCGCCCAAGATGGCCCCCAGACGGCCCAAAATGTCTCCAAGATGACCCAACAAGCCTCCAAGATGCCCCAAGAGACCTCCAGGAGCACTCCCAAGAGGGCCCCAAGAGGCAAACATCAGTGTTTTTTCTTAGGTTTTGGACAGATTTGGGCGTTTCAACTTTTCGGTTCCCCGACGCCCCTAAACGGCTCAAGAGGCCTCCAAGATCGCCCCAAGAGGGCCCAAAAGGCCCTCAAAAGGGCCCCAAGGCGGCCCAAGACGGCCCCAGAGGCCTCCAAGACGGCCCAAGAGGGCCCCGAGAACGCCCCCAACACGGTCCAAGAAAGGTCCGAGACGCCCGAAAATCGCTCCACGACGCTCAAGATGGCCTCCGGACGGCCCAAGACGTCTCCAAGATGGGCCAAGAAACCTCCAAGATGCCCCAAGAGGCCTCCAAGAGAACTCCCAAGAGGGCCCCAAGAGGCAAAAACCTGTGTTTTTTCCCTTGGTGTTGGACAGATTTGGGCGTTTTAACCTTTTCGGTTCCCCGACGCCCCTAAATGGCTCAAGAGGCCTCCAAGGTCGCCCCAAGACGGCCCAAGAGGCCCCCAAGAAAAACGCCCCCAACACGGTCCAAGAGAGGTCCTAGACGCCCGAAGATCGCTCCACGACGCCCCAAAATGGCCTCCGGACGGCCCAAGACGTCTCCAAGATGGGCCAAAAAGCCTCCAAGATGCCCCGAGAGGCCTCCAAGAGAACTCCCAAGAGGGCCCCAAGAGGCAAAAACCTGTGTTTTTCCTTTGGTGTTGGACAAATTTGGGCGTTTCCGACGCCCCTAAACGGCTCAAGAAGCCTCCAAGATCGCCCCAAGAGGGCCCAAGAGGCCCCCAAGAGGGCCCCAAGACGGCCCAAGACGGCTCCAAGACGGCCCCAGAGGCCTCCAGGACGACCCAAGAGGGCCCCAAGAACGCCCCCAACACTACACAGCTCCCGACGCCGCAGCTCCACACTGCAAACGACCACTCGGACAGGCGACCACGGTGCGACATTATGGGCCGGCGGACTGAGCGAAGCGATTACATGATGAAGGGAGCAAGGACGCGGGGGAAAGAGGGAACAAAAACGCGGGGGGATGGGGGGGAGCGGAGGTGGAGGAGGAGGAGGAAGGGGAGGAACGAGGGGGAGGATGAAGCGGAGGCGGATACCGAGGAGAGGAGGGATGGTGATGAGGAGGCGGAGGATGAGGAGAGGAGGTGAGGAAGGGACGGAGGGGGAGGAAGGCTCGCGGCGGGCGCCCAAATCAAAGCGAGGTAGCTTCAGACGTACAATGGGTGGTTCAAGTCCGAACATACCAGATTATGCTCTGGGATTCGGACGTTCCCAGAGGAGAGGAGGAGGAGAAGGACGAAGGCACGGATGGTTGGATGAGCCCGCGGTTATTTGGAGAATTGTTCGAGGGCTTTCAGGAAGCGTTCTCGTCGCTGCGGATTGACGCAACTGGGAAAACTTCATTGGACCGCACCCCTTGGGAATTTTTTGGTTGGGATCGGTTGCGCGGCCCCGTCGTCGACGACGATGGCGACGACGGCGCCGGCAACGCCGGCGGCGACGGCGGCGACGGCGATGGCGGCCGCAGCGGTGGCGTCGACGACGGCGGCGATTGTCATGACAAAGAAAACGAACGCGACGACGACGACGATGGCGGCGGCGACGACGGCGTCAACGGCGGCGGGCGGGCGATTGTCACCAGTCACCGTCGTCGCGACGTCGTGGTCGAGAGTCGTGGGCGCCATCGTCGTCCGTCGTGGCACTCCGCACCCGTCGCGCTCGTCGCGATCGTCGCAGTTGTCGTCGAAGTAGTCCTCGTCATCGTCATCGTAGCACGGAGCTCAAGAGTCAGCGTCGCATTCTTTCGTATTCAAGGGTTGTCGCTCTGTCTAGCATCCTCGTGGACAAACTCCGAACTATCAAGATCTGGGCGGCGCTCGAACTGCGCGTCGACGTCGACAGACATCCGAACGCCAGCGCCTCCTTTGCTTCCTCCCAGAACCTCATGCAAACATCATCGATTCACCGTGCCAGCCCCAGCTTCCACTTCAACCTAAGAGCGTGGCATGTGAACTCTCGGTCGATCGCTCTCCAGTCGGGGACGTCCCTGAGCTGACTAGAGGGGCGGCGCTGGAACAATGCACTTCCCCAAAAAATGGCGAGCCTGTGCGTGGCGATAGGGTAAATCACCCTATCGCTACGCACAGTCGGGGACGCCCCCGAGTGTGCGAAGGGGACCTCTTTTCATTTAGGAGCCTGTGCGTAGCGACAGAGTGATTTACCATATCGCTACGCACAGGCTCCTAAATGAAAAGAAGCCCCCTTCGCACAGTCGGGGACGTCCCCGACTGTGCGTAGCGATAGGGTGATTTACCCTTTCGCTACGCACAGGCTCGGGCTTCCCGGTGCATCGCGTTAGCCGCCAAGGCTGCTCATGAGGATGGCGTCGTCCTGGCTTCCCCCCATTTCATAAGCACGCGTATTTGGCTTTAGGTTGTTCTGCTCTGGCAGATTGCACCCACCGTTCTCTCGATCAGACCTTTACTTAACCATCGCCCCGAAGCGTGGCGGCGGCAGTGGGAGGTCACCTTAGAAGAGTGAGAAGGGTGGAAGGAAAGGTTCGCCACCTGAGACTCCCTGGTGGATGCACAGCAAGCGG